GTATATCAACTCAGCATTTAGCCCATTATCTATCTCTATCCTGGGCTGCAAATTGTGGCTTCCAGGCATTACTGAGGTACTGTACATCTGATTTTAGCCCTAACAAGAATGTGTCTCCAGAGGTATCAGTGTCCTCACATACAGATGAAGACACTACAGGTCAAGTGTGTTTGGCATAGGGCAGGAGTCCAGCAGTTGGTTAATCATAGCGTGAACACGTAGGGTTAGGCTACCTGGGTTTAATCTAGGCTCCACTACTTCAGACTCTCTGACCTGGAGGCCATTTCTTTTTTTCTTTTTTTTTTTTTTTAATTTTTTTTTTTAAAGATTTTTTTTATTTATTTATTTGAGAGAGAGAGAATGAGAGAGAGCAAGCACATGAGAGGGGGGAGGGTTAGAGGGAGAAGCAGACTCCCTGCCGAGCAGGGAGCCCGATGCGGGACTCGATCCAGGGACTCCAGGATCATGACCTGAGCCGAAGGCAGTCGCTTAACCGACTGAGCCACCCAGGCGCCCTGGAGGCCATTTCTTAACCTAAGTCTCAGCTTCATTGAAAGGACAAAACAATACCAGTCTCGTAGGATATTATTATAAAAATTAATAAGATCTAATATATGGAAAGTTGTTGGCATACAGTGTGTGCTCAGTAAGTATCACATATTATTAAGGAAATCATTTCAGGCCACTTACTTGGTAGGAAGGACACTGGTAACAGTACCCCATGTCATCTTCCTCTTCTGTTGCTTTCTAATCAAGGCAAGAAATGTATACATGAAAGTGACTAGTATTAAGGTGGTTTTACCAAGGGAGAGGTCGGGACGCCTGGGTGGCTCAGTTGTTAATCATCTGACTCTTGATTTTGGCTCAGGTCATGATCTCAGGGTCCTGGGATCGAGCCCCGCATCGGGCTCCCTGCTCAGTGGGAAGCCTGCTTCTCCCTCTCCCACTCCTCCTGCTTGTGTTCCCTCTCTCGCTGTGTCTCTCTCTGTCAAATAAATAAATCTTTAAAAAAAAAAACCAAGAAGAAGAAGGGAAAGGTGGTAGGAGGTCAAGAAATAGAGGCAAAACTTTGTGGAGGGGCAAAAATTGCAGTTTGGGTCAAAAGGCCCTGACATAAAATAAGATTTCTAAAAAGTCACATTGGTGTATTTTTTAAGGTGAGAATGCTAAGGGAATTCATCTTTCCTGGACTCATCTTTGCACAGTATTTACTTAAATCCTTTACTATTTATTAACCTTGAACATAAGAGCAACAGAAATATTTTTGGAAGAACTCTCCAGTGATCCTTCCTTAATATGCACTTGTCACTTTTCCTACTTACACTATTAAATAGTTAACCTCCCAACATTTAGAATTGTAAGCGTTGTTGTTTAAAAAAGAGTTTGTTCTCCTTGTTTTTTCTTTCAAGTTCCTTCAAGACTTTAATGAAATCCCATTGTGCTATTTAATGTTTTGACTTTCTTTTCTAGTTCTTTATTTCCTAACTTATATTCCCAACTCAAGGCAGATTCTGTCTGATGTGTAATTGTGTTGGCCAGTATCCCCAATACAAGGCCAAAAACAAATCGTAAATTACTCTGAGATGAATAGTCTCAGTGGTCCAGTAACTCTAGTTGGAACTGACATCAATTCTATTCATGAAAAATTAATTTTAAAAGATTCCTAATAAGATAATTTAGACATTTTAAAATTTGATACTAGTAACATCTATCCATTTTTACAATTACTTTGCTTCTTTCTGCAATGTGAGGGTTTTTGGTTTTGTTGTTTTCTTTTTAATGGTAAATCTTAAAGCAAATAGCCATAACTCTTTTTTTTTTTTTAAAGATTTTATTTATTTATTTGAGACAGAGAGAATGAGAGACAGAGAGCATGAGAGGGAGGAGGATCAGAGGGAGAAGCAGACTCCCTGCCGAGCAGGGAGCCCGATGCGGGACTCGATCCCGGGACTCCAGGATCATGACCTGAGCCGAAGGCAGTTGCTTAACCAACTGAGCCACCCAGGCGCCCTTTGCTTTAACTCTTAAATGGTGCCCCATACTGGAGCTTTTGGGAAAGTAACAGAGTGTAGTTAACCCTGACATTATGAGGTTTTAGTGCATTCAAGCAAATTTGGCCATTTGAAAGCAAGCAGCAGCAGAATAGGAAGGGAAAAAAGACCTTTTTCTCTTCTCCTTTTCAATGAGAAATATTAAGCATTTCCTTTGATCTTGATTAACTGTTAGACCAATTTATGTACCTCAAACTATTTTTTTGGCCTAAGGAAATATGTTCTCTGGCCTTTTGAAATTGTTACATTCAGAGGCCAAACTTTTGGCTTCTTCTTTAAAAGCGGTGTGTTTCAGGTTCTGCAAAGGCAAGAACTTGGCATAAGATTGCAGTGTGACACATGCATTGATTTACCAGAAAATAGATTTCAGCATGAACATGTGTTATATGTGAGGCTTTGCTCAAACTGAGAGTAAATCTGGTTATTAATAAATCTCGTTTTTCACCGAGCCAGATGATCTTTGGCACAATAAAAAATCTAATGAAATAGTCTTAAAAAGAATATCAAAGTCCATTTTGTTTAATGATTTCTCTTATTTAAATATTAAAGGTCAGAAATAGATAAGAAAAATGGAAATATATTGTAATTGTATTGAAAAGGTTATACTTTATAACAAGATAGTCTATAGGATCTGGGAAACACTGGTAATAATTAAAGTTACCATTTATTGAACTACTGCTGAGCTGCTGTATGCCAGGAACTTCACATATATTCTCATTATTCTTCACAATAACCTGGCAAGATGGTTTTTGTTGTTTGTTTTCAGTTAACAGTTGACATATTGGGACATACACTCAGAGAGCCTACACATTTAGTAAATGGCAGAACTAAGATGTGAACTTAATTCTGTCACTTACTAAGATTAAAGGAAATGATATTTGGGAGTGTTTTGGAAAAATTCTAAGTAAGTACACAGTAGCTATTATTACGCTTCGGTTGTATTGCCTCCCAGACTACACACACACACACACACACACGCACACACACGTGTGTGATGAAGAAGAGAGATGGAGGGGAGGAGAGAAAGCATTGCAACGTGCTACCTCCAGAAGTAAGCATCCCGCCATGGTATCAGACTTCTCCTTATATACATAATCCACAAGGAGTTAGAAGATAATAATGAAGGAGGAGCCACTTTTGAAGATGGAATACATAGGAATAAACATAAAAATTAATGTGCAAATCTGTTTTGCGAACAACTTTAAAATACTATAGTGGGACAAAAAATATAGATTTGAACAGAAGGATAGAATGATTCAAAATCATAAATATGTTAGTTCTCCATGAGTTGCAGCCATCAAAAAAAAAAGGGGGGCGCCTGGGTGGCTCAGTTGGTTAAGCAGCTGCCTTCGGCTCAGGTCGTGATCCCAGAGTCCTGGGATCGAGCCCCTCATCGGGCTCCCTGCTCGGCAGGGAGCCTGCTTCTCCCTCTCTCTCTGCCTACTTGTTCTCTCTCTCTAGCTCTCTGTCAAATAAATAAATAAAATCTTAAAAAAAAAAAAATGAAATCTTGCCATTTGCAATCACATGGATGGAACTAGAGGGTATTAGGCCAAGCGAAATAAGTCAATCAAAGTGGGCGCCTGGGTGGCTCAGTTGGTTAAGCGACTGCCTTCGGCTCAGGTCATGATCCTGGAGTCCCTGGATCGAGTCCCGCATCGGGCTCCCTGCTCAGCAGGGAGTCTGCTTCTCCCTCTGACCTCACCCCTCTCATGTGCTCTCTCTCTCTCAAATAAATAAAATCTTTAAAAAAAAAAAATAAGTCAATCAAAGAAAGACAATATCATATGATCTCACTGATAAGTGAAATTTAAGAAACAAAACAGAGGATCATAGGGGAAGAGAGGAAAAAATAAAACAAGATGAAACTAGAGAGGGAGACAAACCATAAGAGACTCTCTTAATCATAGGAAACAAACTGAAGGTTGCTGGAGGAGAGGGGGGCAGGGGGATGGGGTAACTGGATGATGGACATTAAGGAGGGCATGTGATGTAATGAGCACTGGATATTATATAAGACTGATGAATCACTGACCTCTACCTCTGAAACCAGGAATATAGTATATGTTAATTAAATAAATAAAAATAAAAACAAAAAAGATAAATCCACCTTAAAAAAAAATAAAGTGGTACTAACACTGGAAAAAAAATCTCCATGAGTTGATTTATAAATTTAACAAGACTCGGGCGCCTGGGTGGCTCAGTTGGTTAAGTGATTGCCTTCGGCTCAGGTCATGGTCCCGGAGTCCTGGGATCGAGTCCCACATTGGGCTCCCGGCTCAGCGGGGAGCCTGCTTCTCCCTCTGACCCTCTCCCCGCTCATGCTGTTTCTCTCTCTCTCAAATAAATAAAATCTTAAAAAAAAAAAAATTTAACAAGACTCTAGTAACAATACTAATTGCTTTTTACTCTAAAACTAGACAGGAGGATTCTGAACTGAATGGAAATATATTTCTTAATAAGGCTGATGGTTGATTCTTTCTCCTCACCACTACAAGTTCACTGTTTAGATATAGATAGATAGATAGATAGATAGATAGATAGATAGATAGATAGATAGATAGATACTAAAATCCTTTTTATAGGTTATGTTCTGATGAACCTTATTCTCATAAGTAAATGAATAGGAGTGGGAAGAGTTTGTATAGCAGCACCATGCAATTCTTTAAAACTCTTAAGTTATATGCCAAAAATCATAATGAGCTCATCACAACTGATTTTTAATAAATTATTTTGTTATTTTTAAATAAATTATTTGTAATTATTTTTCGCAGTCTGTCCACTGATTTGGAAACCACTCATTGACAAAGGATTATTTACTTAACCAGTAGATAACAATATTTTAGACTGTGTCTTTGTGATGTACATAGAGATTTTCCATGATAGCCCTTTGAAATCACTTACTTGAGAAACTACTTACTATATCATTGCTTTTTCCCTTTTCTCCAGTTTCCTTACAGTCCTCCCCAGCTGACAGGAATGAAGTCCAGGAAAACTGTAGAACAAAATTCAGAGAAGACCTGCATCTGCAAGAAGGAGAACTCTTACTACAGGTAAATTTTAGTAAATAGAGTTTCTCATAATAAAGACATGGTAAATGAAAGATTAATGGATCAGTCTTTTAGTTACTCCAGTTTATTTAGAACTCACCCAGTGTTTCATGTCACTTTCATCTGAACTGCAATAGTGATGTAATGCTAGTATATGAAAAAATGTAATTGTATCAAGTAGATTGGAAGTCTACTTAGTAATTTCCCTGTTGTATTTCTTCTTTTAAAGATTTTATTTATTTATTTGACAGAGAGAGACACAGTGAGAGAGGGAACACAAGCAGAGGGAGTGGGAAAGGGAGAAGCAGGCTTCCCGCCGAGCAGGGAGCCTGATGCGGGACTCGATCCCAGGACCCTGGGATCATGACCTGAGCCGAAGGCAGATGCTTAACAGTCGACTGAGCCACCCAGGCACCCCTCCCTGTTGTATTTCTTTAGCAAGAACTCCTAGATTATTTTAAAGGTTCTCATTTAAGACATTGAATTTATATATGCTTTTCCAGGAATATAGCTTTATTAAAACAGTTAATTGTCTTTACTTAATCGTTCAAAATTGTTCTTAACCTGAATTTTATTTTTCAATGTATTTTGTAACTGTATTGTCTCTTAGCTATGGGGTGTGTCTTATCAACATGCTAAAGATTATCTCAACAACTAGAAGCCCTGATTTTTGTTTTAGAACTCAGAGAATATTTTAATTTTTTTTAATTTTTAAAAATATATTTTTTCTTTTTTTTGCTCTATTTCTTGGAACTAATACGATGCTTGATTCTTAACTAAAATTCTCAGGCATTTATTTTGTTGAAAAACAGATAGAATGAAGATGTGTGGTGTGATATGTGCTATTACTATTACGTATTCATTTTCAGTTCCACCCAGTGAACGGAGTGAAGAACTTAATTTGCCATCATGTAGAAAGTAGCTGCAACTTTTAGTAACTCCATTAATTCATTCTGAAAATCCTTATGTGCAACCCAACAATTTATAACATTTTTTATTATTTTTGTAATTGTGAAAATTAACTTTTGCCCCCATTGGGTTAAGCAAGTTAAATATATTCAAGCAGGAGTCCTCTTCTTATCCCTGACTGAGGATTTTTATGTATATAATAGCTTGAAACATAAAGGCTCCTTATTCAGGTCATAGGAAAACATTTTTATAATTGCTGCTTTATGTGATTAAACACACACCTTGGGTTATGGAGTAAAGTAATAAGGAAGTCCTTTATTTCAAGTGAAAATAAACAAATATGGAATGCTTAACATTTGATAATGCAGTTTAAATTATGGGCCAATGATTTTTTCCGTCCTAGAATATTTAGGCAAATTGTAAACATATTCTATGTAAAGGATAGAGAATAAAATAATACTAATGCAAGACTAGTGTCACTTTTTAATTATCTGAAAATTGGAAACATTTAGGTATTTAAAATAAATGCATCTGTTTTGAATTATATTGGATATCACTTGTAAACTAGTTTCCAATAGGAAGCATCGCATATTATATGATTTGCTAGGACCATGGTTGGAGGGATCTCTTCTGGAGGAGATGGCCAGAAGCACTTTAGATATATGAAAATGGCATATTTCATTACATACAGTTGCCATAATGGCATCTAACTTCATACTTTCAACATGTGATTATCAACTGAGTATCCCTAAGACTTAGAGAATGTTTCCAGAGATACAGTATACTACTTGCCATGAAACTTTTAATGACAAATCATTTCCTTTAGTTTTAACAAAGGAGATACATAAAATGTTGAAGTGTTTTATTAAGAAAAATTTAAAATAATTACCTTCAAGCTTAGCTTAAATTTATGACTATTATATAAAGAATAAAAATGAAAATAAAAAGACTTTCTGTATCTTTTCATTATCCATTATTAATTTCAGTCATTATCATTTATTTAATCATGTTCTGCCCATGCTGTTTACTACTGTGCCTAGTAGAATCCGTAGCTTCGTTTTTGAGTTAACAGCAGTTGAAACTATAAATAACACTATCAATTGCAGTTTATTTCTCTTATATTAAATAGTAAGTGAACCTCATCATGACTTTCAGATAAGTAGGGCAGATCTTTGTGATTAAGACTAAAAAATGATAATCTCTTTCATTAATATGTAATTAGCATATTCTTTCTGTTCATTTAATAATAATTCAGTATAAGTAATAACCTTGTACCATATAGTATTTAAGATCATTTGAGATATACATAAAATTGGTATGCACATATTCTTTTTAAAGGCTTTCAGTTAATTTCTGACAATTAACATTTGTCTAAAAGTGTGTGATATTGTACCTTAAATTATTTTTGTGTTTTTCTGGCTTATGAGCTTATTTCCAATGAGCTTATTGGAAAGTACTAAATTCATTTGACTGTTTGAACAAGCATCACACTCTACAAAATAAAATGCATATGATCAGTGGATACTCTTCTCTACAAAGAAGATATTTTCAGAAGGAGAAAATATAAAAATGGGTGTAACTGTTACTGCCAACTGAAATTTAAGACTACTTAATTGTGAAGGTGTTAATTATTAAACATTTAAGTTCCCGGTGGGTGCCACCACCATTCATCCTGGGGGGACTTACCAGGTACACATAGCTATAATCTCTGAAAATCCAAAGCATGAAGAAGAACCAATTTTGTATTAAAGTTGCTGTGACTGAGCATTAAGTTGAGCTGTAAGCTTTTCCTTATCTAAATCAAAAGGTATGCATAGATTCCTCTCATTGCACAGTAGATGGAATGTCTGTGTCTGAGATGTAAGCATTTTAACCATTTTAAAGAGAAGATTTTTCAGCAATAAAACTAACAGCCTTAACTGAAGTCAGTATTTATGAGTGGCAATATTGTGATTTAGTCACATTACTAATTTTGTAATTTTTTTCCTTGTAGGCTCTCAATGGCTTTGTGCTGGTTGTCACCACAGATGCTTTGGTCTTTTATGCTTCTTCTACCATACAAGATTACCTAGGGTTTCAGCAGGTAAGTATATTTTTCTCAGGCCATGTAAAAAAAAATTTTTTTTTGAGAAAATTACTTTTTATTTGTCATATGTTTTAGGGATATAAATGATAATTTGTATATATAAAATGTCAATTAAAATATGCTATAGAATAAAATTATATATTTGTAGCTAATAATTTTTATATAATTAGTAATTTACTACATTACAATTTTCTTATATGTTCATGAGATTCATGGAGATTGTGTTTTTTTATATATAAGAAATGTTCACGTTGGGGGCAGATAGGATTTGGATCGGGGGAGAGGGGCGGGCAGACAAGAGAATATTTGCTGTCACATTGGTTACGGATACCAGAGGGCATATGGCAACTATGAAATGAATGAAGTGATATGTAAAGGTATAGGCAAAAATATCATGGCTCATACCTTTAATTCGGACACAAGCTGATTATGGAAGCTTTCCTGAAGGAAATGGTATTTAAGCTAACCTAAAGAAAGCATAAGATTTAGACAGGTGGACAGTTGTGGCGGGAACACAGGAAAGAAAAGATACAAGTACTGTAAACAGTAGACTGGAAATGCTTTAAGAGATGAACATGTTTAGTTTGTTTAATGTTATTGAATAAATGGTGCATAAATGGAGTGGTAAGGTATTTGTCATATTTGAAGGACAAGAACATTTAATTTAAGAACAGTTTTGTAAGTACACTTGAATACTAGCTATTCTATTTTTTTAAATTTTTTATTGTTATGTTAATCACCAAACATTACATCATTAGTTTTAGATGTAGTGTTCCATGATTCACTGTTTGTGCATAACACCCAGTGCTCCATGCAGAACGTGCCCTCTTTAATACCCATCACCAGGCTAACCCATCCTCCCACCCCCCTCCCCTCTAGAACCCTCAGTTTGTTTTTCAGAGTCCATCGTCTCTCATGGTTCATCTCCCCCTCCGATTTCCCCCCCTTCATTCTTCCCCTCCTGCTATCTTCCTTTTTTTTTTTTTTTCTTAACATATATTGCATTATTTGTTTCAGAGGTACAGATCTGAGATGCAACAGTCTTGCACAATTCACAGTGCTTACCAGAGCCCATACCCTCCCCAGTGTCTATCACCCAGTCACCCCATCCCTCCCACCCCACCCCCCACGGCGGCAACCCTCAGTTTGTTTCCTGAGATTAAGAATTCCTCATATCAGTGAGGTCATATGATACATGTCTTTCTCTGATTGACTTATTTCCCTCAGCATAACACCCTCCAGTTCTATCCACATCATTGCAAATGGCAAGATCTCATTCCTTTTGATGGCTGCATAATATTCCATTGTGTGTGTGTGTGTGTGTGTGTGTGTGTGTGTATATATATATATATATATATATATATATATATATACCACATCTTCTTTATCCATCATCTGTCGATGGACATCTTGGCTCTGTCCACAGTTTGGGCATTGTGGACATTGCTGCTATAAACATCGGGGTGCACGTACCCCTTCGGGTCCCTGCATTTGTATCTTTGGGGTAAATACCCAGTAGTGCAATTGCTGGATCATGAATACTAGCTATTCTTATGTATCAGTATTTCCTAAATTCTAATGTGTCTAAGACTCACTTGTAAAACTCTAAAATCTTTGGGCCTCAGTTCCAGATACTCTGATTCAGTAGGTCAGAGTGGGGCCTATGAGTTTGCATTTCTAACAAGCTCACAGGTGATGCCAAGGCTGCTGGTTTGAATAGCAGTGTCTGCAGTGTTATATAGTCTGAAGTTTATGTCATATATACAATAGAAACCTGCAAGAGTTTTTGTTAGGGAATGTGTATGCTGCAGTCTGTGTTTTAGATGAGAACTGTGGCAGTTGGGTAATGGATGGCATCAAGATGGTTTAATGCTAGATTAAATTCACAGGGAAATTTAAGTCTAGATAGCTAAACTAGGTAGATAGTGGAACCTGGCCCTGCCACAAAGTCTGACTTGCTGAGAGGCAAGAAGTGGAGGAGGGATTCTAAGCTGGTCAAGGCATAATCCCTTACTCTTCGGGAGTGTACCAGAAGTAAAAATTTAATATAAAGAAAATCATTAGAGGATAGTGAAAGAAATACATAATACTTTTAAGCTTCAGAGAAGTCTAAGATGACTGGATTTTCAGACATGGTTTTGTGAAAGAAATAGGATTTAAAATAAGTTAAAAATAGAGCTACCCTATGACCCAGCAATTGCACTACTAGGTATTTACCCCAAAGATACAAATGTAGTGATCCGAAGGGGCATATGCACCCCAATGTCTATAGCAGCAATGTCCATAATAGCTAAACCGTGGAAAGAGCCCAGATGTCCATCGAAAGATAAATCAATAAAGAAGATGTGATAGACACACACACACATGCATGCGTACAATGGAATATTACTCAGACATCAGAAAGGATGAATACTTAGATTTACATCGACATGGATGGAACTGGAGAGTATCATGCTGAGCGAAATAAGTCAATCAGAGAAAGACAATTATCATATGGTTTCACTCATTGTGGAATATAAGAAACCATGCAGAGGATCATAGGGGAAGGGAGGGAAACCTGAATGGGAAGTCATCAGAGAGGGAGACAAACCATGAGAGACTCTCAACTCCAGGAAACAAACTGAGGGTTGCTTGAGGGGAGGTAGATGGAGGGCTGGGGCAATTGGGTGATGGGCATTTAAGAGGGCATGTGATGTGATGAGCACTGGGTGTTATATTGCAGCTGATGAATTATTGAACTCTACATCTGAAACTAATGTACTATATGTTACATAATGAATTTAAATTTAAAAAAATCAATAAATGGATAAAAATGAGCAGAATTTAATGTGTTGCAATTAAGGAGTGAGGAGGTGACCTACTTGACTGAAAAGCATTCAGGTAAGAAAGTGATGGCAGATAACTTTTGGCTGAGCAGTTACAGTGCTCCCCTCTCTCTGGCTTTTCCTATCAGGATGACTGGAGAGCTTTGTGACCATCTGATGTGCATTCATCACCACTGACAAGCACCCAGTAATCTAGCTACATTTTGAAATTAATTCAGTGAGCCACATTTTTTTAATCAGTACTTTAAAAAAGTTTCCTTGTATCCTTTTTCTTTAGTCTGACATCATACATCAGAGCGTATATGAACTTATTCATACTGAAGACCGAGGTGAATTTCAGCGTCAGCTACACTGGACATTAAACCCTTCACAGTGTACAGACTCTGGACAAAGAATTGATGGTAAGAATGCAAATGATAGTGTGGTGATTTTAAAAAATTTATTTACTTTTTTAGAGAGAGTATGTCAGTGGGGGAAGGGGCAGAGGAAGAGAGAGAGAGAGAAAGAAAAGCAGACTCCCTGCTGAGTATGGAGTTAGACACAGGGCTTGATCTTACACCCTGAGACCACAACCTGAGTGGAAATCAAGAATCAGATGCTTAACGGGATTGAATCATCCAGGTGCCCCTTTCAGCAATATATTTTATAAAAATCACTTAGACTATTGAGAGAGATTGGAAGAAATATGTAAGGTTGAGACTCAAGTATGTTCTGTCTGTAAAATGTAAAATTGTTCTGTCTGTAAAATGGACCAAATAAAAAAGCAAACTGGAATATGCAAGTATATAAAAACTTGTCTCAGTGCAATGCTTTTTTATGTTATTTTTTAAATTTATTTTTTATTTTTTATTGAAGTGTAATTAACATACATACAATGCTTTTAGAAGTCTATGAAAGTATTAAGATAAAAAGTATTAGAAAATATGGATATTGTTGACAACAGATATAAAAACAAAACTGAATAAAGTATGTAGTAAAAGTGATACTCTGTACATTTTAGTTTCTTTTCATAAGCTACTCTTCTGAAAATGATCATTCCTTTTTTGTATTCAGAATAGAATCCAGTTCAGAAATTAACACAAATTTCAGCTATCCAAACACTTGATTATACAGCAAAATGACACATAAATTTATGTTGCTATTATTTCTACAGAAGCTAATGTCCTGCCACAGGCAGTAGGCTGTTATACCCCAGACCAGCTTCCTCCAGAAAACTCTTCCTTTATGGAAAGGAGCTTTGTGTGCCGACTCAGATGTCTCCTGGATAATTCATCTGGTTTTCTGGTAAGGTGCAAAATCTTATGATACTGGCAATTATTATTAATTTTCAGAAAGCAAAAAAGAAAACTGAAACCATTTTCTTTGGTTAGATTTAAGTGTGATTTTTAAAACTCCTTTATTAAAATAATTTCATAATGGGAAGTAAAGATAACTTTTTTCAGATTTCCAGTATCTTCCATAACTCAAAATCTCAGTCTTGTAGGATGTAGTAACAAAGACTGAGTGAACTAACATAGAACCTTGTATTTTGCCTATTTTTAGGACTTTTTAAATGTATACGACTAAGAACTTTGTAGCCCTATTTAGCAACAGAATGCTTACCCTCTTCAGATTTAATCCTTGCCAGACAGAAAAATTATCATGGTGTTTTCTACATAGCTACAGTAACTGCCACCTAGAAAAATGGTTGTATATTCGTGATTGCAGAATTGTCACGTGGTGTGAGCTGTCGTTGGGCAGGCTGAACGTGCAGCTCTAGCAGGCTACTTGAGGTGGTAGCGGTCTTTGTCCTTAAGATAGTGCATTCCGCTGGGTACAGAAGAAAAGAACGGAAAGCATGATCCACAATACCTTTGTGAATTATCAGGAGTTTGAAATAGATAATAAAATCTTAAATATTAGCAAACTGATTTTTGTTGATGTGTTTATTTCTGAAGATAATTTTGCTGACCCAGAGGTAGAATTGTGCTTTGAGATAGTCTTCCTAGTACTGATGTTCAGTTAATACGTATTTCTGAGATGGAATTTATATCATTGGGTCTTGTCTTCTTTGTGTTGCTATCATATATTGAGATCAGAATCATCCCTCAGCCTGTTTAATACACTTTTAAGCAATTAAATTGATCATGTTCACATTTAAATTATCTTTGTTTCCTCTGTCTTCTAAAAGTGCCCTTTACTGTTAATAGAGTTCTACATTCTTTACATGAATTTTATTATTCATTGTAGCGTTTTAATAAAATTGCATTTTATCTCTATATAAAAGATTACCATGAGTTATGAAACAGACAGTGAGCTATGGACTATAGCTTATCTGAATTTGAAAATTAATGTGTACTTAATGAGTTTATCACTGTTCATTCATTGAGGAAGTGTAGGTACTGAATGCCAAGGGGAGGGGGGACTAGTATGCCAGGTGTGAATGACAGGGCACTTGTGAGCTCAGAAAGTGACACAGGTAATTTTGTTGTGACAATTCCCTTGTCAGCCCTTTTAAGATAGTGTTCGTAGGACCTTTGGGGATTGTTGTAATGGGCTTCCTGTGGAGAAAGGCATGAAAATAGCATTAGTCAGCCTCAGGAACTTTTATGGAATTACCAAGAGTGGAAATGGCCATGATTAGGCCTTTTGAAATGAACAGTTTTAAAGTGTTAATTTTAATGAACCGGTTTTGGTTTTTTAAGGCAATGAATTTCCAAGGCAGGTTAAAGTATCTTCATGGACAGAACAAGAAAGGGAAAGATGGATCAGTACTACCACCTCAGTTGGCTTTGTTTGCCATAGCGACTCCCCTTCAGCCACCATCCATCCTGGAGATCCGAACCAAAAATTTCATCTTCAGAACCAAACACAAACTAGACTTTACACCCACTGCTTGTGATGCCAAGTAAGTAAAACTTTTGCAGTTTTATTTCATTAAATGTTTGTTGCAGTAAATCTCTCTGCACGTAAAACATAGAGTGTAGCTTATAATGTTTATTATTATGTGAGCTGTTACTTCATACTCTGTCAGTATAGCCTTTTAAAATAATTTCATCAGGCTCACAGATCATCTTATAATTTTTTACAATACTTGTCACAATTTGTGTATCATAAAGATGAATTGCTTATATTATTAAGATTCAGTATCCTGATGACATTTATTGTTGGTTTGTTTTACATTTTTATAACATACAAACTTTATTTGATTTTTAGCCCTAGAAGTTTAGTAACTTTCAGAAAATTCTGAAGTAGACTGTGATATTAGCATTCATATCCTATCAAAATGTATCATTGTTTTTCTTCTAATATGGGATTGCAGACAGGTTTGAAAAACTTTGCCCCTCAAAGTGGAGTATAAGCATTGTACATTTTTATTAAAGATTTTGTTTTATTTACATAATCTATTCTGTTAGATTCCTCTTTAACCATGCTAATTTTCGTGTTCTTTATTCAGGAGAAGAAAACCATCTAAAACTGACATTAACAGCCATAAACAAAAGAAAGCAGTTACATGAATGTGGTTAATTGTTTCTACCTGCTAATGTAAAATTCTGAATGTCAAGGAAAACAGTGCAGAAAATGGCATATAACCAATTTCTTATTTTACCTTTTTTTTTTAAACAGAGGAAAACTTGTTTTAGGCTATAGTGAAGCAGAGTTGTGCATGAGAGGATCAGGATATCAATTTATTCATGCTGCTGATATGCTTTATTGTGCTGAGTACCATATCCGGAGTAAGTTATATTTCCTTATACACATGCCTGGAAAATGGCATATGTTCTAGTACATATTTCAGAATATCACATAATGTGTTTAAGGCAATAAGTTAGTTTTAATAAGATAAAATAAGTTTTATCTTTGTGTTTTCCCCAAACTGGATACTCTCTCTATAGTTTAATGTGTTACCAGGAGTTTCTGACCTAATCTTCCCTTTAACCTACTAAATAATAAATTTAGTCTGAAATAGAAAAAAAATCAACTCTGAAGAACTATTTCCATACATTTTTTTAACATACTGTGTTTAAAAGTTGTCAAGACATTTACCACCTCTGGTGATAAATGAAACACATCCAAAAGTATGTTAGACGGGCTGTGTTTCAGAGACTTTCTTTAATATGTTGATTTGGGGTTTGATAATTTTTGTATTTGATTTTAGTGATTAAGACTGGAGAGAGTGGCATGATAGTATTCAGACTTCTTACCAAAGAAAATCGATGGACCTGGGTTCAGTCTAATGCACGCTTAGTGTATAAAAATGGAAGACCAGATTATATCATTGCAACTCAGAGACCTCTAACGTAAGTACGCAGACAAAATGTTTCATGTCTTCATTTTATTTCTAATAACACTATGGTTTATAAATCCTCTTATGTGAAAACTTCCAAGTAAATTCTATGAGAATTTTCTCTGGAAGTAAAAACTGAAAAGACAATCTGTATAAAAAGAAGGCAAAGTGAAGGACATTGAGAAGATAGAATTGACAAACATTATTGAATGACTAAATATATAGAATTACAGAAATAGAATAAACAATGAAAACGCCAGGGTTTTACTCTGGTATATGAAGGAAGGATGAAAAGCTAGTGCCATCTGTAAAATAAAAGAAATATAGAAGAATGCTGTGTTTAGTATATGCTTTCTAAGCAAGCAGTGGTTTTTAAGTTTCTTATATATTCTGTGAGTGTTTTGTCAAATACCATATTGCAGATATCTTCTCCACTCTAGAGAGCTGATATTTGTATGTGCCTTGAGGTAAGGATCAACATGGATATTTTCCTTTATATGTATATCCAGGTGACTAGTAACATTTATTGAAAAGGACATCTTCCCCCCCCCCTACACTGCATTTTAATTAGGGGGTTCTGTCTGTGGTTCTGTTTCTGGGTTCCATGAGTCTGGTTGTCTGTTTTCACACCAACAGCACATGGTCTTCATTCTGTCTTTATAGTAGATCTTGATCTCTGAATGTATGCTCTCCATCATGTTTGTTGAGGACTTTTTGTTGTTCTCCTTCAAGATTGTCATCTCTGTTCTTTGCCCTTTATATTTCCATATATATTTTAGGAATCAGTTGTCAATTTCCATCGGAGTATCTGTTGGGATTTTGAATGGCATTACATTGAAACTATAGCTTATTTGGGGAGAATTAACATCTTTATAATATTCTTCCAACCTGTGAACATGGTGAATATATGTATGTATATAGGCATATGGGTACATGAGTATGTACCTATGTCTTTGTTTCAGTAAGGGGTTGTATTTTTCTTACCTGAGTCTTATGTATTTTTCTTAATTTTACTTCTAGATATTTGATGTGTGTATATAGCAATTGCTAATTGTTGATTTTTTTTAATATTGGCTTGTTTTCAGTGACCTTACTAAAATCTACTTTTTCTTATAATTTGTCTGGATTATTCCAAATTTTCTAACACATACCATGTATGTGATTTTTTTTTCTTTTTAATCTTTAGACATTTATTATTTCTTAAAATTCCTTTATTGCACTGGTTAGGCCCTCAGTAAAATGTAAAGGAAATAATGATACCAGGTTTCATTTTTGTCCTCTTCCAAGCCTAAGAGGGAAACCCTTTAATGTTTTACTGTTGAGTATAATGTTTGTGGTAGTGTTTTCTTTTGCTATTTATACATATATATATTTAATTTAGAAGTTTCCCTTCTCTCTAGTTTACTAAATATTATCATCATGAATGGGTATGGAGTTTTGCCAAATACTTCCTCTGGATTCATTGACATGATGATGATTTTTCTCTTTTGTGCTCTATTTTCTTTTTACTTTGTAAGATCTATAGTGATTAAGAAATATTTCCTGATACTAGAAATTTGTGCCTTCTCTCTTAATATTGCTAGAAGGCCATTAGTTTTTAGTCTTCTCAAGGATCCAACTTTTGTTGATTTTTCGTATTTAATGTTTGTTTTCTACTTCATTTATGTCTGCTTATTATTTCTTTCCTTCTACTCTCTTTGGGTATAAATTGCTATATTTCCAACCTTTTCTTTAAGCTATTAATTTCCCTTCAACTACAGCCCTAATGTTTTGATAGGTCTTGTTTTTTCTATTCATGATTTGTTTAGAGTTATAGTGGTATGTACTTTATACGATGGGTATTTTCTCGTGTTTTTGTTACTGAATTTTAGGCCAATTCCACTGAAGTTAGAAAACATTTTCTGAGTGATTTCAGTTCTTTGAAATCTGTGGTAGCTTATTTATGATCTAACATATGGTCAGTGTTAGTAAAACATCCCACGTGCTTTCATTAAGAATATATGTTCTATTGCATGTATGGTATTCTTCATACATCCAGTGGTCTAGTTTGTGCTGTTCATATTTTTATTATTTGATTTTTGTATTTGCTTATTCTGTTGTTAAGAGGTTATTTGTTGCATTTTCTCATTACTAATGAGACAGGACATCTTTTTATATCTTTCTGGGGCATTTTCCTTCTGTGAATTTTCAGTTCAAATCATTTGCCTGTTTTCTACTGTGTTGGTTGGCTCTCTCTTGGTCCTCATTGGAGCTGTTTACTTAATATGGATATTGTATATATTTATACACACACTATAGTAGTATATATATGAAATTATAAATACGACATATTTTCTCCATGCCTTGACTTGATTTGTGAATTCTTTTGCCATGCAAGCTTTTAAATTTTTATGTCAGTTATGCCACTATTTTCCTTTAGAGATTCTGGGGGTTTTTATGACCCTTCCCACTCAGATTTCTAAAAATTTTTTAAGTATAATTAACATACAATGTTATGTTAGTTTCAGGTGTACAACATAGTGATTCAACAATGATATGCATTGTGCAATGCTCACTGTAAGTGTAGTTACCACCTGACAGCATATAAAGTTATTACAGTATTATTGACTATATTCCCTATGTTGTACTTTTCATCTCCATGATTTATTATACCTGGGAGTTTATACCTTTTAATCCCATTCATCTATTTCACCCATCCTCCTACCCCTTTCCCTCTGGCAACTACCAGTTTATTCTCTGTATTTGAGTCTGTATCTGTGTGTGTGTGTTTTGTTTTCTAGACTCCACATAAGTGAACTCATACATTTATCTTTCTCTGACTTATTTCACTTAGCATAATACCCTCTAGGTCCATCCATGTTGTCACAAATGGCAAAATTTCATTCTTTTTTATGGCTGAGCAATATACCGTATCTTCCTTATCCTTTCATCTATTGATGCACACTAGGTTGCTTCCAGAATTTGGTTATTACAAATAATGCTGCAGTAAAAATCGGGGGGCATGTATCTTTCAAATTAGTGTTTTCATTTTCTTTGGGTAAATACCCAGCAGTGGAATTACTGAGTTGTATGATACTTCTGTTTTTAATTTTCTGAGGCACCTCCATACTGTTTTCCACAGTGGCTGTATCAGTTTACAGTCCCATCAACAGTACACAAGGGTTCCCTTTTTTCCACAGCCTCAACACTTGTTATTTCTGGTGTTGTTGATTTTAGCCATTCTGACAGGTGTGAGGTGATATGTCATTGTAGTTTTGATTTGCATTTCCCTGATGATGAGTTATGTTGATAATCTTTTCATGTGTCTATTAGCCATCTGTAAATTTTCCTTAGGAAAATGTCTGTTCATGTCCTCTTTTTAATCAGGTTGTTTCTGATGTTGAGTTGTATGAATTCTTTATATATTTTGAATATTAACCCCTTATTGGATATATCATTTGCAAATATCTTCTCGAATTCAGTAGGCTGCCTTTTCCTTTTGTTGGTGGTTTTCTTCACTGTGCAAAAGCTTTTTGTTTTGGTGTAGTCCCAATAGTTCATTTTTGCTTTTGTTTTCTAATTTGTTGGCATCTAATTTTTCTTACTAGTCTCTTAAATCATATGTATTTCTGTAGTGTTGGCTGTTACTCTTATTTCTGACTTTGTTTCTTCTTCCTGGCTAAAGGTTTATCAATTTTCAATGATCCTTCTTGTTATTTTTATAATCTCTATTTCATTTATGTCTGCTCTAAACTCTATTAATTTCCTTCCTTCTACTAACTTGGGGTTTCATTGGTTCTTTTTCTAGTTGCTTTAAGTGAAAGGTTAGATTGAGACTGGTTTCTTGAGATAGGCCTATATCAGCATAAACTTCTTAGAACTACTTTTGCTATGTCCCAAATTGTACACCAATGTGTTTCCATTTTCATTTGTCTCCCGGTAATTTCCCATTTCCTTTTTGATTTCTTTGTTGACCCACTGGTTGTTTAATACCATGGTGTTTAGCCTCCCTGTGTTTGTGGCTTTTTTCTAGTTTTTTCCTTATAGTTGATTTCTAGATTTATAAAGAAAAAAAAATGCTTGATTTCAGTCTTAAATTTATTGAAACTTGTTTTGTGACCTAACATGATCTTAGAGAATGTTTCATGTTTGTATTCTGCTTCTTTTGGATGGAATGCTGTGTGTATATAATAAGTCCATCTGGTCTAAGATATCATACAAAGCCACAGTTTCCTCATTGATTTTCTGCTTGATCTATCCACTGATGTAAGTACAGTGCTAAAGTCCTACTACTGGGGCGCCTGGGTGGCTCAGCCGTTTAGCGTCTGCCTTCGGCTCAGGTCATGATCCCAGGGTCCTGGGATCGAGTCCCGCATCGGGTTCCTTGCTCGGCGGGGAAGCCTGCTTCTCCCTCTTCCACTCCCCCTGCTTGTGTTCCCTCTCTCGCTGTCTCTCTCTCTCTCTGTCAAAAAATAAATAAAAATCTTTGAAAAAAAAATAAAGTCCTACTACTATTGTATTATTGACAATTTCTCCCTGTAGATCTATCAGTATTTACTTTATATAATTTAGTGCTCTTATGCTAGGTGCATAGATGTTCACAATTATTATATCTATTTGTTGGATTGATCCCTTTATCATTATGTAATGCCCTTCCTTATCTCTTGTTATAGTCTTTGTTTTAAAATCTGTTTTGTCTGATAAGTATTGTTACCCCAGCTGTTTGTTTTTTGGTTTTTGTTTTTCCATCCCTTCACTTTTAGTCTGAATTTGTCTTTAGGTCTGAAGCTAATCTCCTGTAGGCAGCACATTGAAGGATCTTGTTTTTTTATCCCTTCAGTCACCCTGTATCTTTTGACTGGAGTATCTAGGCCATTCAGTTATCAATAGGGATGTAGTTACTGCCATTTGTTCATTGTTTTCTGATTGTTTCTGTAGTTATTCCCTGTTCCTTATTTTCTTGTTCTCTTCCCTTGATTGCTTTCTTTAGTGTTACACTTGGATTCCTTTCTCTTTTTTTTGTGTATGTGTATCTATTATACATTTTTAGTTTGTGGTGACCTTCAGGTTCATATATAACATCCCGAGTGTATAGCAGTCTATATTAAGTTGATGGTTGCTTAAGTTTGAACACGTTGTCTAAGCACTGTTTTTACTATCCCTTCCATCTCTAATGTATTTGATATATTTTACATCTTTTGATTCCCTAATTTTATAGATAAAAAACAATAGTAAAATCAACAAAGTTAAATCAGTCATTTACAAACGATTGATTGATCAACCTCTACTATAGGTTTGTCAGTGAAATTTTTTCCTTTCATAATTTTCTTCTGGTTATGCTCTGTTTTCTTTTGCTTAAAGCACTCCCTTTAACATTTCTTGTAAGGCTTGCTTAGTCATGATGAATTCTCCTTAACTTTTGATTGGGAAACTCTTCCTCTCCAATTTTGAGTAGAGTATTCTTGGTTGTAGGTTTTTTCCTTTAGGCATTTTGAATAGCTCATGATGCTCCCTTCTGGCCTGCAGAGTTTGTGCTGAAAAAGCAGCTGACAGCCTTTATGGGGTTTCCTTTGTATATAAGTTGCTGCTGCTACTCTTGCTGCTTTTAACTTTGATGTGTCTTGGTGTGGAGCTCCTTGGGTTCATTGTATTTGAGACTCTCCTTAATGCCTGTTTCCTCCCCCAGTTTAGGGAATTTTTCAGCTATTATTTCTTCATATATGTTTTCTGCCCCTTTCCCTCTCTCTCTTCTCCTACTGGGATCCCTATAATGTGAACATTTGTGTGCTTGATGTGGTCACAGAAGGCCCTTAATTTATCCTCTTTTTCTTTTTTGCTGTTCGATTTGGGTGCTTTCCATTGCCCTGTCTTCCAAATCTGTGATCTATTCTTCCCCATCTTCTGTTGCTGATCTCTATTTTTCATTTTAGTTATTGTATTCGACTCTTATCTCTTTGTTGAACTTCTCACTGAGTTCGTCCATTCTTCTCCCAAGTCTGGTGAGCATTACTTTGAAGTCTTTATCAGGTAGACTATTTAGTTTGGTTTTGCCCTACTTTTTTTTTTTTATTTTTTATTTTTTTTTAAAGATTTTATTTATTTATTTATTAGAGAGCAAGCGAGAGAGAAACAGCATGAGAGAGGAGAGGGTCAGAGGGAGAAGCAGGCTCCCCACTGAGCCGGGAGCCTGACATGGGACTCGATCCCAGGACCCTGGGATCATGACCCAAGCCGAAGGCAGTCGCTTAACCAACTGAGCCACCCAGGTGCCCTGCCCTACTTTTTATTTGAGCATATTCCTCTGTCTTCTCATTTTTGACTTTCTAATTAGGTAAACAGCTACCTTGCCCAATTGTGAAGGAATAACCTGTAGGAACATCTCCTGTGTAGACTGCATGTCTCTGGCACCTTTTGCAGAGTGACTGCTGCTGAAGTGGGCACAGAATCCTGGCTTGCTCTGCATGGGGGTGGGGGGGGCACCCTGGCTGGGATGGTTAATTCCTAAATTCTTAGTACAGTCATCATTTCCACACTCAGTTTACATCCCTGACATCCTGCAGGAAAAATATTTGGATCTGAGTGGAATAAAGATCCAAATAAAAGGTTTTTTGGTTTTTTAATTTTTTATTATGTTAATCACCATACATTACATCATTAGTTTTTGATGTAGTGTTCCATAATTCATTCTTTGCATATAACACCCAGTGCTCCATGCAGAACGTGCCCTCAATACCCATCACCAGGTTAACCCATCCCCCCAGAACCCTCAGTTTGTTTTTCAGAATCCATAGTCTCTCATGGTTCATCTTCCCCACCTTCTTCTTTTTTTTAACATATGTATTACTTGTTTCAGAGGTACAGGTCTGTGATTCAGTCTTAATCACAGAGCTCACCATAGCACATACCCTCCCCAATGTCTATCACCCAGCCACCCCATCCCTCCCCCTACCACTACTCCAGCAACCCTCAGTTTGTTACTGAGATTAAGAATTCCTTATATCAGTGAGGTCATATGATGTATGTCTTTCTCTGATTGACTTATTTCGCTCAGCATAACACCCTCCAGTTCCATCCACATCATTGCAAATGGCAAGATCTCATTCCTTTTGATGGCTGCATAATATTCCATCATATATATATACCACAAGAACAAATATTGTGAAGATGTCAATGCTACCTAGAGCAATCTACACATTCAATGCAATCCCTATCAAAATACCATCCACTTTTTTCAAAGAAATGGAACAAATCATCCTAAAATTTGTGTGGAACCAGAAAAGACCCCCAAATAGCCAGAGGAATGTTAAAAAAGCAAAGCTGGTGGCATCACAATTCCAGACTTCCAGCTCTATTACAAAGCTGTCATCATCAAGACAGTATGGTACTGGCACAAAAACAGACACATAGATCAAGGGAACAGAATAGAGAGCCCAGAAATGGACCCTCAACTCTATGGTCAACTCATCTTCGACAAAACAGGAAACAATGTCCAATGGAAAAAAGACAGTCTCTTCAACAAATGGTGTTGGGGAAATTGGACAGCCACATGCAGCAGAATGAAACTGGACCATTTCCTTACACCACACACAAAAATAGACTCCAAATGGTTGAAAGACCTCAATGTGAGACAGGAGTCCATCAAAATCCTAAAGGAGAACACAGGCAGCAACCTCTTCGACCTCAGCCGCAGCAACTTCTTCCTAGACACATCGCCAAAGGCAAGGGAAGCAAGGGCAAAAATGAACTATTGGGACCTCATCAAGATAAAAAGCTTTTGCACAACAAAAGAAACAGTCCACAAAACCAAAAGACAACCGACAGAATGGGAGAAGATATTTGCAAATGACATATCAGATAAAGGGCTAGTATCCAAAATCTATAAAGAACTTATCAAACTCAACACCCAAAGAACAAAGAATCCAATCAACAAATGGGCAGAAGACATGAACAGATATTTTTCCAGACATCCAAATGGCCAACAGACACATGAAAAAGTGCTCAGCATCACTCGGCATCAAGGAAATCCAAATCAAAACCTCAATGAGATACCACCTCACAGCAGTCAGAATGGCTAAAAGTAACAAGTCAGGAAATGACAGATGTTGGCGGGGATGTGGAGAAAGGGGAACCCTCCTACACTGTTGGTGGGAATGCAAGCTGGTGCAGCCACTCTGGAAAACAGTGTGGAGGTTCCTCAAAAAGTTGAAACTAGAGCTACCATACGATCCAGCAATTGCACTACTGGGTATTTACCCCAACGATACAAATGTAGGGATCTGAAGGGGTATGTGCACCCCGATGTTTATAGCAGCAATGTCCACAATAGCCAAACTGTGGAAAGAGCCAAGATGTCCATCGATGGATGAATGGATAATGATTGTACTAAGTTTTGGGGCAAATTCTAAATCACCTCAATTTGTCTAAAAAATTTTATAGCATTTGTCATTAGGAAAATGTCAAAATTAAGTTTGTGCTCTCTATCAAACTCAATTACAATGTCTTTTGCTTGCTGTTTTTCTTTTAAATTTTTTCTTTTAAAATGTTTATGCTACAACTCTTCCTAACATATGCAAACTTTTTTGTCCCCAATTTTAGAGATGAAGAAGGAACAGAACATTTACGAAAGCGAAATATGAAGTTGCCATTTATGTTTACTACTGGAGAAGCTGTGTTATATGAGATAACCAGTCCTTTTCCTCCCGTGATGGATCCCTTACCAATAAGGACTAAAAATGGTACAAGTGGGATAGATTCTGCTACCAAATCAGCTCTCAATAAGGATTCTCTCAATCCCAGTTCCCTCCTGGCTGCCATCATGCAACAGGATGAATCTATTTATCTCTATCCCGCCTCAGGTAGCACCCCGTTTGAAAGAAATCTTTTTAATGAACCTGTGAATGAATGCAGTAATTGGCAAGACAATATCGCACCAATGGGAAGTGACGGTATCCTGAAACATGAGGAAATAGATCATTCTCGGGAAATGAACCCAACACTCTCTGGAGGTCCAACAGGGCTCTTTCCAGACAACAGAAATAGTGACTTGTATGGCATTATGAAACAGCTAGGCATTGATTTTGAAGATATCAAACACATGCAACAGAATGAGGAATTTTTCAGAACTGACTTTTCGGTTGAGGATGACTTCCGAGATATTGACCTAACAGATGAAATCCTGACCTACGTCCAAGGTTCCTTAAGCAAGCCCACCGTCGGGTGTTCAGACTACCCGCAGCCACAGTCCCTGGCTCTGGCCTCGAGCTGTGTGGTGCAGGAGCCCCTGCAGTTCGAACAGCCGCAGCACCGCCCAGAGCACGGGGCCGTGGAGCGGGCACAGCTGTGTCAGAAAATGCAGCACATGCAAGTTAACAGCATGTTTGCCAACTGGAACCCTCACCCATCCGTACCTCGGAGTTGTCCTCAGCAAGATCTGCAGCAGTATAGTGTCTTTTCAGACGTCCCTGGCACCAGCGAAGCGTTTCCCTACACACCTGAGAGCAATCCTGTGCCATACACACAGACCTTTATTCCCTGTCATCAGCCTGTGTTACCACAGCATTCCAACGGGACACAGTTAGGCTTTCCCATAGGGAATTTTGAACCATCCCCATACCCTACGAATAATTTAGAAGATTTTGTCACATGTTTACAAGTTCCTGAAAACCAAACCCATGGACTGACTCCAGAGTCAACCACAGTAAGTCCTCAGGCCTGTTATGCCAGGGCCATGTCCCTGTACCAGTGCCAGCCGGAGCCACCGCCCAGCAGTGTGGCCCCCATGCCCTACGATCCAGCGACAGCACCACAGGCATTTTTAAACAAGGTAAGGGTTTTATCGGACTCTGAATAAACGTTGCAGTGAATCTTCTCACATTATAAATATACATGAGTTATAAACTTTTTATGTCTGTGACTACTTTTTTATAAGCCAGGACTTTTCTAGTATTAGTATGTTACTAATAGATTTTTTTTACTTGAGTTGTAAAGGAGAAACAAGTCAAGGGCTAAGGCAACACGAGTCTGTCCATAAGTTACCAGGTGAAATTAGTGAAAAGTACATTGTTTAGAATAGATCCTTGGGTTTCTCTAAAAAATTCAGAGTTCCAAAATATATTTGCATTTTGAAAAGTAATTTCTTTAGGGGTACCTGGGTGACCCAGTTCCAACTCTTGATTTTGACTCAGGTCATGATCTCAGGTCTTGAGACTGAGCCTGGCGTTGGGCTCCATGCTGGGTGTGGAGCCTGCTTAAGATTCTTTCTCTCTCTCTCTTAAAAAACAAACAAACAAAAAAAAAAACCTGAATTCTTTTTTTGAGATTTTTTAAATTTTATTATGTTATGTTAATCACTATACATTACATCACTAGTTTTTGATGTAGTGTTCCATGATTCATTGTTTGTGCGTAACACCCAGTTCTCCATGCAGAACATGCCCTCCCTAATACCCATCACCAGGCTAACCAATCCCCCCACCCCCCTCCCCTCTAGAACCCTCAGTTTGTTTCTCAGAGTCCATAGTCTCTCATGGTCACCTTCCCCTTCAATTTCCCCCTTCATTCTTCCCTCCTGCTATCTTTTTTTTTTTTAAACATATAACGTATTATTTATTTCAGAGGTACAGGTCTGTGATTCAACAGTCTTACACAATTCACAGCACTCACCATAGCACATACCCTCCCCAGTATCCATCACCCAGCCACCCCATCCCTCCCACCCCCCACCACTCCAGCAACCCTCAGTTTGTTTCCTGAGATTCAGTCTTTTTATATGGGTTATAGTCAATATGGTTGTGCTTTCTCCAAATGACTTTTGTCCTTGGTGATCCCTGAATTCAGTGCTAGTTTCCTCAGTATTCTCTGGCAATACCCCCATGTTATCTGCCAGATCCTCAGTTTATCCTTTTTTCTTCTGGCACATTTTTAAAAAGCCTGACTTACTGGTTTTCTTTCATGTGGTCAAACTTGACACTGTATTTTGTTTTTTAAATTTTTACTTATTTTTTAAGTAAGCTCCATACCCAACATGGGGCTTGACCTCACAACACCAAGATCAAGAGTCACATACTCTACTGACTCAGCCACCCAGACACCTCTGTATTTTTGTTTTTTAAATAGGTCATCAAAATCTTTCTACCAGCAACCACACTTTAAATCTAAAAGTAATCACTTAAAAAAAAAGTTAACAAGGGTGATAGCTGCTCTCTATGGCTCCTTGGGAATGTATGTTTACATTCGTGCTTTTCATTAGAAAGTATTTAGTTCACTTTAAAGTATAATTAAGTAGGCTTTTGAAGAAAATCCTGATCTAAATTAAGTTCATTGGTCTCTATTTACTGTATATTAAAGTTATAGATTAGCAAAAACGGTTCAAGTTCATATTTGTAATTGTTTTTTATGACATTTTTCATACATTTGGTTTGTCTGTAGATGAGCTTTGCGGCAGGAAATAGCAGTGGAAGTTTTTCCTCTGATATATATCCAGTCTATCCTCATTCCCAACATTCTTCAACTATCTCGAAATTTAGTTTTCAGTGACAGTCTACCTCAAAACATTGCTGTGATGTGGCATAGATAGGTAACTTGAGTAAACTGTTGACAAGTTAATCATTGAGTTTAAAATTTAGTTAATCATAGTTTAAAATTGCATTACCACAAGTTCTTCATTTTCCCCCTTTACTTTGGATTACTTCTTTATGAATAGTAAGGTAATAGGAAGTCTGTAGACCTATCTATATATTCCCCGAGGGAAGTATTTAAAATTTCCTATGTGGTTCACATTATATTTCCATCGTACAGCATTCTTTTGACAATATATTTAAAGAGAATTGCTGGCATGCGTCATGTTATGACTGATAGGCATCATTTGGTCAAAGCCTACCATTCTCTGAGTAACACCAACTTCCACTTGAAGACTCCATGTGGCTGCCGTTCATTGAAGCCCTAGATTATGTGACTTTTACTATATATTTAATATGTGTTTTGGAGGATCTTTTAAGTCTAATGTTAACATTAAGTCTAACGTTACATTGGTTTTATTTGAAGCAACTGAAGGTATGATTTCAACCTATTTGAAAGTTTCCACAACTTTCACTATATACTAAAATGCAAAGGTTCTATAATCTATAAAGCCCTACAGAACTGTGTATCTGCCTTTTTTTTTAGCAGCATTACAGACTACTTAGACTAATTTTATTGTAAGAGGATATTTGGTAACTCAAGTACTATTAAAATGGTCCCAATTACAGATTAAAAGCATATAACAAAAAAATCATTTAGGAAATCCTGTCCATCTCTGTAATATTTTAGGAATATTAAGACATCTCTATCAGAACTGACCTCTTATGGAAAAGTCCTAGGTCTGTAGTCCAGCGTGTTAATTTTGAATGCAGTCACTTCATTGGTACCCAGAACTTGACTGAGATGAAATCTGGCCAAAGCAAACCTATGATGGATAAATATAACTGTGATTCATAGCTGGTACTCTCTGAGACATCAGTTCCTATCCAAACCAAAGGCAATTTGTTCATCAAATACTCTTCTAATGTATGGAGTGCCAAATCTGAGCTGAGACCAATGTATCACACATTAGATGTACCATCTAATGGAGAAACCAAAGGTTATAAATATAACACACAATATGTGCTCAGTGGGTCTTCATGGAACATTTAAAATGTAGCAACAGTAAAGAATTTGAAGTTTAACAATATGAAGGCAAATATTTTAAAACTGCATTTTAATATATCATTTAGTGGCTTAAGATACTTGAAAGATCTAATTAATCACATTGCTATTTTGTTTGCAGTTTCAGAATGGAGGAGTTTTAAATGAAACCTATCCTGCTGAATTAAATAATATAGATAACACTCAGACTACCACACATCTTCAGGCCCTTCATCACCCATCAGAAGCCAGACCTTTCCCTGATTTGACATCCAGTGGATTCCTATAATTCCAACCCCGTTTTATGCACCTTGGTTTTCGGATGAGTTTGCAGAAGATTACAGAATAAAAACTGTCAGTGTTGGTCATCAGCAAGTTTCCATGGAGGCATTGTTGTGTGTTGTTGTTTGTGCTATTTCTCCAAACCAATGTTTTTAAGAGTTAAAAAAAATTATCAAAAATAACATATCCTAAAATCATTAAAATAGAAAATGTGCCGCCCCAGAGGGTGAGAGTCCATCTCTATTTCACGTGATTCTGAGTACCAGGGAATATACAAAACTTATTTAGGGGAACTTTAGGACACTTTTAAATTTCTGTCCGAAAAAAAAAAAAATACTTTTGAGTTTTAAACTTCTACATTGTCAATACGCCAAATACAGAATTAAACTCCTTTTATTTTTGGCTTCGGCTTTTATCTCCGATATTAAAATAAGTGGTGTGGTGCTTTTATAAAAGATAATCTCAGTGCTTTCCTCCTTCATTGTTAATATAAGTGCCTCACAATTTTTTATACCTCTAACACTGTAGGATGTATATTTGATAGAAAATATACCTTTTTTAATTAATAACATTCTACGCACAAATATTATTTGTATTTCTTAAATTCAGTCATTTTTATTATTCCAAGCATGTTTTAACTGCACTACTCACCCACTCTCTTCAGGAAAAGGGCAAATAATGATTGAGAAGATATTTATTATATAATCCAGTTGCTTCTAGACTCTAAATGTTGCTCTGTGCCTTATGTTGAAAAATTTTGAGAGTAAAATGTGTTTCTGAATTATTTTTTGATCATCATATAAACATTAAGACCACAGCACTAAAATTTCAACAGTGTTTTCAGAAGAAAGAGAGATACTACCATTTACCTTTACTAAAATCTCCGTGATCACTGAATGTTGCAATGTGGAAAAATCTGCTTGAATGCAACCATGTTTATTAACTTGCAATGAGGAGAAGTAGCTTTATTTCTAGCTCTTTAATCACCCATTTCAATGTGTATAAATTCTTTAAAAACTATTTTAGATCTAGAATGAGCTTTAAGGTATAATGTGTTGACTTTATAAATTTCACTTCTTAATACAGTGGAAACTATTTTTCTCATATTTGAGGAGTGTTAAGATGGAATATAGCAATGTTTGATGCGAAGTATTGTTATGAGTGAAATGAATGGTGCAATTATAGTTTATAATGAACAAAATTATTTGTAAAATATTTTCAATCTTTCATTTAAAAAGTCTATACCCTATATATGCACCTAATTTGGGTCTTACATATTTTATCAGTGCATCTTTTTAAGAAATCATACAATGAATGCAACTGCTTTTACCTTGGTATTAAGACAACCATGCAGTTCTCTTAACTTCAAACATTATGTTGTTTATATGATATAATGACCTTTATTATCAGTACAGCAAATTAATCACTCTACTAAGTTTACCATCCTCGGGTGATTTAAAAAAAAAAAAACCCTTTTACTTAAATGTGACATCTGAAGGGCAGACACAGATTGCATGTAGTATATAAAAACATGATGGAATCTCAAACAGAGATGTAGTATTAAAATACAATATTTTTCATTTTTTAGTAAATCAATGTATATAAAAGGCTTCAGACAAAATATGTCAGTTATATGCATTTTCAGTCAAAATTTTCAATCTGTAGCATCAATTTAAATGTTGAAAAAATAGATTCATCTAAACCATTTCATAATTTGTTTTCAGCACGAGGTAACACTGAAGATTTAGAGCAGGGTCTGCATTAATATTCCATTTTTTTACATTTAAGCCTTTCATTAAAAGTCTTCATGTAACCATTTTTGTTAGTCTTTTTCCACGTTTTTGAGTGAATTATTTAGCAGATAAATAGGCTTATTTTACATTGTGAATAGGATGACAGTTATGCACTTATACAGTTACAAAATTTTAAAGCAATACTGTATATTTTTATCTATATAAAATAACTAAAATGTATCTAATAACAACAAAATCACATTAAACCAAATATACATTTGTCTGTATTGCTAAGGGCCAAAGGATGCTGTGTGTGTCCCCGCTGTAACGAGGGATTCATTTTTACATGATGTGCACTTCTGAGGATATGGATGTGTCTAATTTGAACTTCTATACCAGTTTGTTCTTCTCGTGTCTGAAGATTTACCAGTGTTTCAATGTAGTAGGAACCTTTCAGTCATCACTATGCTGTACCATCTCGTGTTTCTCAGTATTACCAAATCTTAGGTAGATGTTTTCATGGCTTTTCTCTTTTCTTCAAAATGTTACTGCTTACCTATTATGCCATGCATACATTTTTGTTTAAAATATGATTTATCCTTATCAAAATTGTATACAATAATATATGGTAATAAAATAATCACTAAGTGTAAATAATATGTTTTAATGTAAATTCTTTCTGGTCCGTATAGAGGAAATGAACATGTTTAGTATAGTATTATAACTGTGTTAGATGAAGGCAATCTATAATATTTAAGGACACATTAAACAGTAATTCATAAACTTCTTATAAAGTTCTGCCCCTGGATATTTTAGCCTTTACCTGAATTTATATTTTTTATAAAAACACCCTTCAAATAACTTCATAAAGTGCTTCTGAAATAGAATGTTCTTTTAAATTTTGTATTAGTGTTATAGATGTAATGGTGTTAATATCTCAGATTAAATTTTAAAATTCCATTTTAATATTTCAAGAATATTTGACAAATTTTTAAAACAACTCATCATGTGGGTGCCTGGGTGGCTCATTTGGTTAAGCGACTGCCTTCGGCTCAGGTCATGATCCTGGAGTCCCAGGATCGAGTCCCGCATCAGGCTCCCTGCGACCCTCCTCCCTCTCATGTGCTCTCTCTCTCTCTCTCTCTCTCTCAAATAAATAAATAAAATCTTTTAAAAAAATAAAAATAAATAAAACAACTCATCATGTGCTTAGATTAGAATAAGTATGGCTCAAGCCTATATCCTCTAACAGATACAAATGATAAGCCTTCGGTGTCAAATTCCTGACTATTAAAACATTCACCAAGAATTCTGCAGTTAGAATTATTTGAAGAAAAAAGTCTGAGAAAAATGAAGTTTTCTTTTTTTTTTTTTTAAAGATTTTATTTATTTATTTGAGAGCGAGACAGAGATAGTGAGAAGAGAGCATGAGCAGGGAGGAGAGAGAGAAGCAGGCTCCCACTGAGCCGGGAGCCCGATGTGGGACTCGATCCCAGGACCCTGGGATCATGACCTGAGCTGAAGGCAGATGCTTAACCGACTGAGCCACCCAGGTGTCCCGAAAAATGAAGTTTTCATTCTAATAACATTTTTCTTATATTAGTCTTATGTTCAGCCTTTATAATTATTAGGGATTTTTGTCAACATCTCGATACCTAAATCTAACAATTTAGTGCCATACTTAATTCTGAACACTTTAGAAAGACTGAGTCTGTTACCTAAGAGTTACATAAAATACTGAATTTTAACCATTTGACTGGAAAACATCCAGTACAAATCCAGATAATCATATTTCTGATCTTTGCTTTCACTCAAATGGCTTCTACTAGCAGGAATGACTTCAACTTGCCCTCTTTCACCAAGCCTACCAGACACGGACCCAGTAGTGTTAGCTACTCACGGGATAATAAATACGTCACTAATTTTTCCCCCAGTGTCTGCAGATGACTTTGCTGGCAGTTTTACTAATAAAATTGAAATCATCAAACACCCTAACACATCCTCAAGATGTCCGCACCTTCAGCTCAAACACATCACTGTCCTTGATCTCTGAGGTTCACCTCTAGTATGTGAGGAGAGGTTCCCCTAACTCCAAGAAGAATGCCCTTCCTTTCCAAGTCTTGTGCACATTTCCCCGTCCAGTCTTGTCTCCCCCTCTCCATAAACTTCCCTGGGTGCAGGTTCTCCCTCCATCCTGGAAATAATCACTTGGCCCTGCCACCTTTTATTATTAAATTCTTTATCTCCTTTCTCTAAAACAATTTTTGATCTGAAATTTGGTTTTATTTTCCACCCTTCCATTACACTGCTTTGTGGAAGTTCACTTAATTCCCTCCTTGCTGTAAGCTGATTTGCTGTGGCCCCGCAGCCAAGTTCAACCCTCAATGCACTTTTTTCCTCCCTTAGTTTCCGTGTTATTAATTCTCCTGCAACCTCCTATCACTCCCGCTCTTTCCTTTGTTAGCTACTCTCCCCCCTTCCCATCTGGCAACAGGCTTAGTTCTGACCATTTGTGATTTTTTTTTTCTCTATATACTATACCTTTGGAAGCACATCCATTCTGCTACTCCTGCCTTTATGAATTGCTTCAAAGTCTGTTATCTCACCTCTAAAAAAGGGGGTGAGATAAAAAGACACCTCATTACTGATTGACATTTGTGGAACATCCTTTTCCTCTGAAAATGTAGCAAAGCTAAGCACACAGACCCTGGACTCTCATTCCTGGCTTTCCACATGTGTGATAGGAATCACTGGGAAGGTTTGTTACTCTCTGAGTCAGAGTTTCTACAAAATAAGGGTAATGGTAATACCTGCCTCACTGGATTGTTGGAGGATTCAATAAATAATTTATGTAAAAGTATTTAGTTGCCAATGGCCAAAACTGGAACAATTTGAGCAACAAAATAAATAATAGCATTGGGTTAAAACCCAAAGAATAAACATCCATGAGTCCATCCTCTTATTATATATAAGTGATTAAATACATAAATGAGCAAGAAGGGGTAAATCTTCCTCATGAAGAAGCACAAGTATTTGTAGATATTATACTTTCCAGTCGATGGAGTTTAATACCTCCTCCTGCTGAGTAGGGGCTAAACTCAGCAACTTGCTCCCCAAGAACAGAGTAGGAAGGGGGGTGGATAATGAGTTTATAGAAATCTGGCAAGCACTGCTTTAACATAGTGATGGAGGTTGATGTCACCAATGGTAAGTCATTGTAGCCTGTTCTTCCTAAATGATGCTATGACAAGCACACTCCCGCTCTATGGTATCTTCAGAAACACATAATCCCAGTCTAATTGTGAGAGAATATCAGAAAAGACGCAAACTGAGAGACATTCCACAAGACTCCTTGGAGTATTCTTTAAAATGTAAAGGTCAAAAAAGCAGAGATGGAGACACCGTCACAGACCAAAGGAGACTTAAGGAGGCATGGCAACTAAATACAGTATGGCGTCTGGGACTGCATCCTGCCCCAGCAAAAGGACAAAGCTGCAAACAAGGGCCCAACTGCACAAAAAAAGGCAACAACTGCAGACAGAAATCCCAATAAAGTTTAACAGTGGTACACAACTATGAACTAATTTCCTAGTTTCACCAATGTCCCGTGGTGGCGGGAGACATTAGTGTTAGAGACATTCAGGTTGGGATGAAGGGAATAAAGGAACTCTGGATTTTTGCATCTCTAATGTAAATCTAAAATTGTTCCAAAATACTTGATTTAAAAATCATTTTCCTATTAAACACACACACACACACACACACACGGTTTGTTGATTGCCACATGGTAAGTACTCAATAAATACCTGCCATTCCTTTCCCTGTGATAGCTAAAGAATCTCTTCTCAGTTGGAGATAAATCTTGCACATGACACCAATCCGTCTCATTCTGTTTACTGAAGATTTGATGAATGTCTTGGTTTTTAGCCTCCAGTGTTCCTTTCCACTTTTACCTCCTGACATCATCCTTATCAATGATCCTTCTAGCCTTATTTCTGTAATGCGTACCCATCAACTATAATAGTCCATTTTCCATGCCAGGCGAGGACAGCCACAAGTCAGACTTGGAGCATTTGTAAATGCCTTAACCTCTGTGAACTTGAAACTTCCCTTTTTAATCACTCTATCTTCTCTCCTTTCCCAATCCTGTCTTCTTTGTTTAATTAGCTCTCCACCCTCTAGTGAGCTCCAGTCCCCAGAGGGCATATTATATTATTCTTTTTCAGTCCTACAGCCTGGACCTCACTATCAGGATTTCAGCAATACTGCGGCTTGTATCCTGGAATTGCTCACTTCCTTATTGCTAACAGCCACTCCAATCCATAGCCCTGGCCAAAACACCTTCTTTTCCTAGTAAGCTGGAAAAAGTAACAAAACTGAAATAATTGGCCTCACCACAAGCTTTTACCAGGCCTATGGCAGAGACCAACAATTACCTACACTGATAGCATTTATCCTGCCTGCTTAGTCAGAGAACCCTGACTTTCCTCTGGTCACACTGAGGGAAAACAACTACGTTTTCCAGCCTCCTTCATGGACAGGTTAGCTAATGTGAGTTTTGGCAAATAGAGGAAAGCAACATATATGTGATACTTCCAGAAAGGCTGCTTAAAGAGACCTAATGTGGCAGCAAGGAACCTACTCTGTCTTTTTCCTTTCCTCTGCTAGCCAGCACATGGCATGTGATGAAGACAAGAGCGAGCAGCTCTCTCTCGAACTGGGAAAACAGAAGTTGGTAACTAGAAAGGTAAAGCAAAACTAGAATGAGCCAGTGTTCCTCATGACTTGGAACCGCCAAACCACTCCTTGTCTGCCTTCCTCTGGACTCCTTCCCTCCTTCCTTCCTTCCTTCTTTCTCCCTCTCTCTCTCTTCTTTTCTTCCCTTTCTTTTTCTTTCTTTCCAGAGAGCACATGTGTTTGTGGAGGGGGGATGGGACAGGGGATGGGGGGAGAGGGAGAAAGAGAATCTAAAGCAGGCTCCATGCTGAGCATGGACACGGGGTTCAATCTCACAACGCTGATATCATGACCTGAGCAGAAATCAAGAGTTGGACACTCAACTGACTGGGCCTCCCAGGTGCCCCTGGACATCTTTTATAATAAAAGATAAATAGACTTCTAACTCAGTTAACACATCTTTCTAATATCTACCCCACCCCCACTCAGTAGCATCCTCATCTCTCTCACTATGATGACATTCTAATTTGACTGAAAATAGTCTGATACAAATTTCAGTTTTCTATTCTTTGACTTTTACATTTCTTTCAACCATCCTCTCAGATTTCCCTTATTCCATTTTCTCTCAACTTCAGTGCACTGGTTTCTTCAGCGTACAAGCATAATCCATTCTCTCTTAAGAAAAAGAAATCAAACTACTATTTCATGCTTTTGTTTTGTTTTGTTTTCATTACATCTGAATAGAGCAGCTGACTAAGGCTTGCTTGCTTTTCTTCATTACGGACCTCTTATCAAATCTTCACACTCTGAATTTCACTATTTCTAATTTTATGGGTACAAATGTGCTATTAAGTCACAAAGTTTATCTTCCTTGATACTTTCTTTCCTTGGGTTCTGTAAGCTTGTACTTGATTTTCTTGACTTCTGCTTACTCTTGGTCCTGCTCCTCCACCTTACATAACTCTATAGACCTCTCTTCTGAGTTCCTGCCCCAGATTTTCCATGGTATATTTTGCACAATATATAGTATAGTTTTTAAATACCCTACCAGTACCTTCAACTGTCTTTGCACAAAACTGAATGAACCATTTTCCCTCCTAAGTCTGGTGATTCTCCCATCACTTTTGTGTATACCTCCATCTCTATGCTTCTACTAGCCTAAACCCAAATCCTCACATCTTTACCTCTCCATTACCATAGTAGTAATGGACACTGGACAATGGAATCTTTTGCTTCTGTACTTAAAAGATCTTAGACACTTTTTTTTTAAGATTTTATTTATTTATTTGAGAGAGAGAGAATGAGAGACAGAGAGCACGAGAGGGAGGAGGGTCAGAGGGAGAAGCAGACTCCCCGCCGAGCAGGGAGCCCGATGCGGGACTCGATCCCCGGACTCCAGGATCATGACCTGAGCCGAAGGCAGTCGCTTAACCAACTGAGCCACCCAGGCGCCCCGATCTTAGACACTTCTGACTAAAATCATAGTTAGGAACTCAGCTAGAATGATGTGCTGACCCCCAGCAAGAAAAGGCAGTCTAGCAGAGAAGAATCTTCTACATGAGATAGGAAAGGAATGTATAGAAGTTACAAGGATTGAGGCAGTTTTAAAATTAAAAACATGTTTTTAACAAGCAAAGGTTTGGGAGTGGTTGGGGGTGGGCAAGGAATCATTCATTCAACACTGAGCTAACCAGTGATACAGGGAGCAATTCTAGGTTGAAGCTAAAGCATCCAGCTGAATAGTTTCTATTTGACTCCCTCCTGATGGGATCCATCTGTGTCCCTCACATATGGTCCAGGTCCTTGGGACTTGGTGTCTCTGATTCCAAAAGAACCAGAAATAGTGTATTTTACTGGGTGTTCATGGGCCATCTTGCATCTGTGTCATTTGGGGAGTGCTATAAAAATTAGAATTCTTAAGACACTCCATGCTCACTCAATCAAAAGTCCTGAGAATCTTATTGTTAACAAGTATCTCTGATGATTTGTATGTACATTAAAATGTGAAAAACAATAACGTAGTCTTATGATAGAAATATTAGAGTATGGAGGCTATCCTAGGCTGCATGGTCTTTGAGATCCTGATTGACCCTCTCTCACCTGAGAAGCAAAATCACCTCATTAGGTGAACTGCCCTTCTCTCCTAATATGTGATCTTTAGAATATCAACACCTCCTTGGATAGAATTTAAGTATGCCCAATTAGCTTTCCTGTGATGTTAGGTTTAAACTCTGAAACTCCACCCTAGGCAGAACCAGTTTTGGCTTCCTTCCCCCACCTCCAACCTCACCACCACCATCTTGGACAAGATCCATAGCCCCTAAATGATCAGTTTCTGACACTATGCCCTCTACCTCCAGCAAAATTTTTCAGAAAGGGGGGAAAGACAATTCTATTTATGGTGTCTGATGTACAGCGTTCTGCATGAAACAGCTCACATTTTAAGACCAACTGGAACTGTGAAGGAACACAAATTCACATACAGAAGACTTAATAGGAATCAGATATTAAGACAGTGGAAAGCAAAAGAATGGTCTCTGATATGACTGCCTACTTCAAATAACTAACATACTAACATAGGGGAAAAACATATTTTTGTTATTTATGGTACAAAAGTTAATTGAGTATCAATGATAAAAGTTACAAGTTAATAGATTCTACCTTGATATAAAGAAGACTATTATTGAAAGATGCTTGGGGGTGCGTGGGTGGCTCAGTGAGTTAAGTATCTGACTCTTGATTTTGGCTCAGGTTTTCACCTCAAGGTCGTGAGATCGAGCCCCAGGTTGGGCTCCTCACTGGGCATGGAGCCTACTTAAGATTCTCTTCTCTCTCTCTCCCTCTGCCCCTCCCACCCCCCTCTCTCCTTGTCAGAAGAAAGGAGGGATGAAAAAAGAAAAGGGAAAAGAAAAAAAAAGGATGGATGGATGGATTGATAGAGGGACGGATGGATAGATGGATGGATGGGAAAGATGGATGGAGATGAAATAGATGGGTTTGAAATCTAATGATCTTCCCTGTCTCTAGAAATGATAACTTCAAATTTATGCTGAGAAAATAATTCAAAATCCCAGTGTCATATAAACTATCCCTACTAAAATTCCTTATGAGATTCTGTGATTCCATAACTTCTATGTTGGTATGATCTTTGAGATGATGTATTTTATGGCGTCTGTTTTATGCTTGAAAA